ATAAAGTGAGGCTATTTTTTATCTGGACTTTCACAATAAATTTGCTATATTTGTCACAAGATGATAATAGAATTCATGGCAGATATTTTGATAAATAATTTGGGACCAACATAAAACATTTCACTGCACAAAATAACTCTGTGTGCAACTTGCATGGAAAAATAGGAATTCAAACTTAACAGTGGTGTAAATACTTCGAAAGAGAAAAATCTATCATTTTTTCTATAAAAAAAAAAAAAAAAAAAAAAAAAAAAAAAAAAAAAAACACTTCCGTCAGAAAATTTTTCTAATGCTTTTGGTATAGAATTTAGTCTTGGAATTTTAATTGAATATAGTTTAATTGGCATTGTAGACTCAAATTTATTGTAAGAACTAAAATATTATGCAGATTTTTTTTTAAAATAGAGATCGAACCAAAAACATGCTCAAAAGCTGAGGAGCGAACCTCTTTAAACGCAATTTTCTCAGCGGGTTTCCGTTCAAACCCTTACTCCTAAACTTATACCAAACCTCTTATAATTTTTGATATTCTTTTCTAACTTATAGAACAAGAATGAAAAATGACATATATGTTTTAATATCAACATACATGTATCACGAAACATTTTTTTTTTTCAAATCTGTGTGTATATATCGTACAAAATTAATTATATATTCAAATTAGGTTGGTTTGTGAGGAAACAATAAAAGACATGACCCGCCCCAAAATCCTCTCTCAGGATCAAATTGAATCATTCTTCAATAATAACCCCCTAAATAATGACCATGATGACCAGTTATCAAAATGAAACTTATTGTATTCTGTTCACAATGTACATGTAAGATATCACGCCATTTGCGTTGTCGGTTTATGATAAAAATACGATAGATGTGTTCGGTATAAAATTTATCATTTCTTTATTGAAAATTTCCTTCCATTGTCAAAATTCGAGTGTTGGTAAAATGGGTTGGTGCTGTCGGACCTGTACGGGCAAATTAAAAACCCGGGTTCTTAAATATTCTTAAATATTCTCTGTTAATACTCAGTCAATTGAATTGAAATGGGTGGATTCTGAAGGTCGATCATAATAAGAATATTTATTAAATGAGATGTTTAACTTTTAGTAATTCTATTTGAATAATATTCAAGTTCTGTGAAATGGGAGTAAAATTTCTTGTCAAATTAGACATATATTTGCTTTCAAATACATTTTGTTGAGTGTGTTCTGCAGATAATACTAGTTGGAATATTGCAGTTTTAGATTAGCCTTTTAATGTTTGTTGTGTCGACATATATCCATCAAAATTCATACAATCTTTAAAATCTTCTTAACTACTGTACATTATGTAAACATTTTCACAGGGTGCACCCCCTTCCTGTAAATTATTAGGATCAATGCACAGGCACTTGACGCTTTAAACCTTTCTCTTCATTGATAAAAAATATCATCATATTATAATGGTATTATGGTATGGGATGGACATTATGGGATGAATGAAGTGATTATACCGGTTTCTGGGTCACTGTATATATGTATATATCGAATTGTGGGATAACTATAGTCACTATACCTGTTTGTGGGTCACTGTACAAATGTATATATAAATGTATTGTGGGATAAATAAAGTGATTATATGCCACTCTGTGGTTCACTATATTTAAATATGCATAAAAAATTATTGGATACGAAACATATAGATGAGATATTTTGTTAAAAATCTCATAATATAAGGTTGATAAGCTCTGTGTTGAATAAATAAATAATACATTTTAGGATGGACATTATGTGATTAATGTAGCAATCATACCAGTTTGTGGGTAACTATATGTATATTACGAATTGTTGGATAAACAAGCGATTACATAAAATATATTGTGAAAATCTCATAGTATTAATTTGATAACCTGTATATTGAATAAAGAAAAAAATACGTAATGGATTGAACATTAAGGGATCAACGCGATGATTATACTTGTTTTTGGTTAATTAATAATTACGTTTAAAAGAAATTCTGGGATAAGTAGGCGTTTAGATAAAATATCTTGTTACGAATCTAATAATTTCGGCTGAAAAGTTGTATAATGAATAAATAATTAATACACTTTCGAGTTGGACATTACGGGATCAATGTATAGTACATGCTAATACCTGTTTGTGGGTCACTATATACACGAATTTACATGTATATGAGGAATTGTTTGAAAAGTAGGCGATTGCAAAAAAAAGTGTAACATGCAAGAGTGTTATAATATAAGGTTTATTAGCTGTATATTGAATAAATAAATAAAATATTAGTACGATAAGATGAACATTATGGGATCAGTCTAATGAATGCACCAGTTTGTGGGTCATTGCATGTATATGTAAGAAATTGTTGGATAAGTAGGTGTTATGCATAAAATAATCTTTTTAATAATGTCATAATATTAAATAAATAAATAAAATATTATGAGATGGACATTATCGGGCTAAGGTAGTAATTATACCTATTTTGTGTCACTATCTATGCGTATATAGAAACTGTGGGATATGTAGGCTCGGGGATGAAATATCTTGTTGAGAATTTCTAATATTAGGCTGATAAGCTATATGTTGAATAAATAGATTATGGTAATAGTAAATATATTACGATAAGGGATTGACTTATGGGATAGATGAAGTGATTATACCTGTTTGTGGGTCATTGTATATACGAATTATGGGATATATATATTGCATGTGATTATACCTGATTGTGGGTCACTGTATATATGTATATAATGAATTGGGGGATAAATGTAGTGATTGTACCTGATTGTGGGTCACTGTATATATGTATATAATGAATTGTGGGATAAATATAGTGATTATACGTGTTTGTGGGTCACGGTACATGTATCTATGTATATATGAGCTGTGGGATAAATATAGTGATTATACCTGTTTGTGGGTCATGATATAGATATGTTTATAACAAATTTTTGGATATGTAAGCATATACGTAAGATATTGTCTTTAAAATCTCATAATATAAGGTTGATAAGCTCTTTATTGTTTAAATGAATAATTCACGAATGGAAGGTCATTATGTTATAAATGTAGTGATGATAGCTGTTTGTGGGTCACTATATGTATATATATATATGTATATAACGAATTGTGGGACAGGCGATTGCATAAAATATATAGTGTAAAATCTCGTAATATTGCTCTGCTATCCTATATGTTGAATCAATAAAAATACATTACGGATTGGATATTATGGAATCAATGCAGTGATTATATCTGTATATTTACTTTTAAAAATAAGAATTCAATGCTTAAATGTGGTTCACTATATACATGTATATAAGAAAATCTGGGATAAGTAGGCATAAAGATAAAATATGCCGTTCAATATCTAACAATGCTTAATGAATAAATAAATTATAAATAATACATTGTGGGGTGGGCATTATTTGATAAATCATCTTTGTCACTATATATATTAGAGTATGTAAGAAATTGTGGGATATATATAGAGAGAGAGGATATCCCTAAAATATCTTGTTAAGAATCTCATAAATCGTATATCGCAGTGAGTCATTCCATATTGTACATATGTAAATATACATATATATATTTATATCAAACATTAATTCTTATGTCTTACATTGTGAAATGCAGCACATAATATATATAGCATATGATAATATTGTGGGTCATGATATTCATATATATAGAGCATTGTGCGATGTATATACTTTATCCCACAATGCTCTATATATATGAATATAATGACCAACAATGATATACAACATTTTTAATCTTATCTCAAAAATTATATATTATATAATGACCATATATAACGCCTAAATCATGAATATGACATAGCTATGCAATGTAGAAATGCGAGATCCCACAAACCTGTTTAGAAGGTCGGTGCCCACAAACAACCTCATATACCTATATATATATATATATATATATATATATATATATATATATATACAACGTGATCTGTATCTAATCAAGATGCATTCACATACCAAGAATCAGCTCAGTATTTATAAGCGGTATAAAAAAATGCGGAAATCCAAGTTGGACAGACTGACAGTCAAACGGAGGGACAGACATACGGACAGATAAACAGACAGGCAGACAGACAAAGAGATGGATAGACGAGGAGGAAACTTATAGTCCCCTCCTGTTTTACCGGTATGGGGACATATAAAGAATGAGATAAGAGCAAACGGCTACCAAGGAAAGATCAAGTTTCACGGACGAGTGACAATTCCCTGTCGATTGTTTACACTTCCCGTGAGCTGTTTGTCTTGATTGGGTTAATAGAGTTATCTGTACACATTTCATCGTAAAACAATGGCTAAAGAATATGTACAAAATAAATCATACTTGATCGTCTTAACAAGTTGTGATAAAGTTAACTGTAGAAAAAATTACTATATCACATACGAGAATAATCCCACGCCTAATAATGAAATGATCTGTGAAAATAACGAACAGTAATCAAGTGTAAATTCTAAGGTACTGAATACAGACACACTTAAGTACATTGAAAATTATGAGCTTCATGTAACATACATTTCTACATGTAATTCTTTAATATTCTCTAATAACCTTTAAACTATAGAAACTTTTATATTAAGTTAAACTTTCAAGTTAATTAGTTTGCTATGATTTGTCATTAACATTTAGTACCTTCTAAATGATGAAACCCTCCAGTGTGAGAACACATAACAACAAACAGAAATTAACGACGAGTGGGTGTGTAAAAAATGGCAATACTGGATGTATGCTCACAAGGTTTACCGTTCTTTGTGTATTTGTATAAAACATTCAGCATAATACAATAAATACTGCATGGAATTCAAAATAACATTCAATATTTTCTACTACCCTCCCCCCCGTACAGTATTTGTATAATGGCAAAGAATATGTGTTGAAAATTAATAATTTTCATACACTTTTTTTCATTCTGTTGAATTTTCTTTCAGTTATTGATTTATGATTATTAGCCTTTTCACTGACCATTGCTCTTATTTAGATTCTGCTGTAGAGGCATGTTAATCCAACTTCTACTGAAGGATTTTGAATACTTGGTTCTGTAGCTTCTTCATTTGTAGCTTCTTCATCTCTTTGGTTTCTTCTTCTTGAAGAACTTTGAATAAGGGGTTCTGTAGTTTCTTCAGTTTCTTCATCTGTAGCTTTCTTATCTCTTTGGTTTCTTCTTGGAGAATTTTGAATACTTGGTTCTGTAGCTTCTTCATCTATTTGGGTTTTTTTTCGAAAGGAACGAATGTATTTTAGAGTACAAGAATGAAAAGTGATGCTAATTATCAGAAGTTACTGTTATAAGTATTACATTATTTTTCATACATTTTTGTAAAATTATATTTTGAGTCAATTGTTTTATTCAATAGCAATTTGTGATATGATTTTTTTTTTATATTCTCTTACTGCGTTGCCTTTGATTACTTTGAAATGTGTATCGTCTTGCATATAGACAACCTATTATTGGTTAATTTATTGTAGGAACCTTTTTATCTTTCATGTATTTTAAGGATATATACTGATTGTTTGTTTTATGTATCTAATGACACTTGGTACTTTAAATAATTTCTTGAAAACCAGGGTACTTAAAAGAGATACATGTAATTGTTTTCCTGTGTCATTTTGTTTGTTAAATAAATCTCCAACATCATTATACAGCGAAAAAAGAATTATCACACCAAGTCCTTCTTACACTTTTTTATAGTTAAAGACTCCATCTATTATTCCATGGATCAACACAACTACGCACATACTCCTCATGATATACGTTAGGTATGTGGTTGACTGGGTTATTGCTGAAAAGAATATTCCTTATATTAATCATTTAGTTTATATCCAACTCAAGTGTTGTAATTTTAACCATTAACTTTTATATAAAGATACTTTTCTGAACTGGCACAGCTGTACGTAGGAAGATAAAATTATTTTCATGTGTGTTCTAAGGTTAAGATATATGGAGCATTTTCTTATGGAAGATACCCAGCGAATACACACACCTTAAGTATTCTGTTTATTTTGCACAGATAACCGTTAACATACAATACTTTAACAATCCTTCTCCCAATATTAAGTATAATGTTCATATGAAATTAGATTTACCTCATAGTTTCTTCAACAAGCAGTATTAGTTAAATATTTTAAGCAACAATATAATTGTGGTTATTAGTTCATATGTTGTTTTTGAGTCCTTTTCGAGAATTATTTACTCACATCGAGACGCCAATAGAGGGCTGCAAATTTAGACCAGTACTCGGCACTCATGGCGTTTGATCATTGAGAGATCTTTTTTGTGCCAGCATCTGGTTTAAGACGTTACCAATCATGCAAACATGCACAGTCAAATGCTACACTGAGAATTTCATCTTGGAACGTTGACATTTAACGCAATAAATTACATAGAGAATAACACATACTGTTTTCCATATCACATCCATTACCAGCCAGCGGGCCGAATGGCCAAGGGTTGATATCGCTTGATCGAAGACTAATTCTCGATGTGATATGGAAAAAGAGTTTGTTTTATAGTGTTCATAACATCCTCATAATAAAATACAGCACACATTTACTTGACCAAATGGAAATAAATAATCACTGAACAGTTACCTTAAAATCAAAGAATGTGAACAAAATAAAATTGTGAATTATCGTAAGTACTGTTTTTTAAAGTAATCTCCAAGTGTGATATAAATCCTTATCCAACCTACTCCCGATGGTCCTGATTTGAACAAATTAAATTTGTAATGAAGCTTTCATGTAAGTTTTAGCTTTCTATCCCAGTATCTCGAGAATATTTTTAAATGATAAATTAAATGTTCAATTATTAAATATCTCTCCTTGAAAGAGATTGTTGCTTTTCATTTGAATAAATTTGAATTTCCGTCACAAAACTTTGGGAGGGGGGAGGTTGAAATTAGCCAAGTGGTTCTTAAGAAAAAGTCAAAAATGTAAACTGTTTACTCGATGACGCCAATGACGACCAAAAAACGGACAAATTTTGATCAGAAAATCTCACTTTCACTTGAGCCTTCGCCTCAGGTGAGCTAATTTATGGCGGAATGATGCATTTGAAACTCTGTCGAACTAAACACCTAAAAAATCTGATTTCAAATTATGATATGTTTGATGTTCTATAAATAAATACACCAATCGGTCATTTATTAATAAATGACGAAAAACTAACCTTTAAAATCTATAACAATAATGGGAAATGCCAGAAAGTATGGAAAAAAGTGTAAAATGGTGGCTTCAGGATCCAGGATGCTCCCTACAAAAGTAAAAAAAAATCATCCCAAAAACAACAAATCTTTTATAAATAAATGCAGATTTTTTCTTCATACATAGCACAAGAAAAATTGGTGAGAAGGAGTGGGACAAAAAATCCCACTCCTTTAAAATAAACTGTGATTAACCATATATACCACAATAATATTTTAATATGCGTGAATATGTGCCGAAAGGAAAGTTTTTTTTTATTTCATATTAAAGAAATCAATATGACTAGAATTTTGAAAATAGTTTTTTTTTCACATTTGAGATATAAAAATATAATTCAACAATATTGAACATTATATTCTCTAAATCCACATTTAAATGCATGCAAAATGTACAGTGATCTTCATTTTTCCACCATGTTTAAATAATTTATTAGGTAAAGAAAAAAGTAATGGCAAAATTGAAATACATACAAATTTTAAGCAAACAAATAATATAATAGCATATAACAAATAGACTTTGAAAATAATTGATACAAACAATTTACTTTCTCTGAAAGTAAATATATACTTATTCACTTCAAAAATAAGAAAATTTGACTTTACTCAACCAAAATTTTCATAGTTTCAAAAATGTTCCTTTCAGAAATATGAAAAATACATAAGTTTCAAAATGAGAAAAACAACGAAATTATAGAAGGGTCTTATCTTGAAGATCCTAATAATATACAATTTTAGCCTTTTTATGAGGTCAATCCCTAGATATATAGACCTTAAAGAAAGCATATCGACCGATCACGAAGCGCGAGGTCGATATGCTTTATCTTGCTAAGATCTACGACGGTTGTCCCAGAAAAACGCGAACATTTTGAATATTTCAGAAACTAATCTACCAAAACTAATAATTTTTGCACGTTGTTGAAAAATGATATTTTCGATATTTTGACAAAATATTTAAGGCTTGTGATGCCATAAGTATATAAAAACAGCATTTAAAGGGTGTTAAATATCGGTGGTCGGCGCACGGCAATTTTTTGACTTTTAAAAGTAGCATTGTCAATGAAGTTTTCTTTATTGCCAGGTTATACGGAAATATAATGTCACAAAATTTACCTAAAAATAAATAATCTTTGAACTGGTGTACTCGTGTATAAAAATTCATTAATTTGATATCATTGATGACAAATATATGACGTTATATGCCAAAACACTTTTAATTGGACATTGTCAAAAATGGTGACGTTTGGCGATAATGTGGAGCACCAAATTATTAAGCAGTATACTGTGTTGAGAGGATATGACTCCTATGCATACGATAAAAGAGATGTTAACTATGGAAAAACAGAAACATAAATCTCGGACACAGGTTTATCCCTAGTTGAAGAGGCTTCAGGATGGCTTGACTGGTTATCCGATAGAAGAGGCCTTTTGTGAAGACAAACTGAAAGTCAGGAGCTGGACGTCATAGGCCTTAATAAAGTTCGCCACTAAACAATGCGAACTGTTAGGTTTATGATCGGGATTGTGAAATTGTCTATTAAAAGAATTAATTCCGCAATCTTTTGGAAACACTAGTATTTGAGATGTATAACTTGGTAAATAAAAGAAACTTAAATACAGTGCTGAATTTCTGCTTAAACGAATTTTATCAGAAGCACATTTCCAGAACAAATTTACAAACGCCACGAGCTACGTTTTGACGTCGCCAGTGTTGAGCCCACAACTGATTTGTAAGATTCATTTATCTGAGAGAAAAATGTTATTTATGGAGATATTTCGTTGAAATTTTCATGCATTATTAAAAAAATATTGATTTTGATGTATGCCAATTTTCAGCTTAATAGTATTAGTGAAACAAAAGATATTGAAAATGTTCACGTATTTCTGGGACAACCCTCGTATATATCTAGGGATTGTACCAAATCAAAAGGCTAGGATTGTTTTATTATTTTTTTATCAGATAATAAGAAATATGTCTTAAAATCCATGTTTTTAATACTCAATTTTTTCCTATGTATTCCTATTTAAAACTCTGGTCGCTCATTGTGATTCCTCCCTTCCCCACCCTATATTTGAACAAATTTGAATCTACACTACCTGCGAATGCTTCTATAATATTATGACTAATTATGGCTTAGTTGTTCTTGAGAAGCAGATTTTGAAAGATATTTCAATATTCCAATATATTCCTATGTAAAACTTTGACCCACTGTTGAGGCCTCGCCCTATGTTCATGATTTGAACAAATATAAATCTACACTACCTGAGGATACTTCTGCTCATGAGAAAATTTTCAAGATATTTCCTAATTATTTCATTGTAAATCTTTTACCCTTGTTGTATATGCGCCAATCCTCCAGGGGTCATGATTTGAACAAAATTGAATTTCATTTTTTCTTGGCTAGTGGTTCTGGAGAAGAAGATTTTTAAAAGATGCCACCATATTTTCACGAATTCTTGATTATCTCACCTTGAAAAAGGGCATGGCACTTAGATATGTAAAGTTGACTACTTGTAACTGGCTACTACAAGAGGGTAAAGATAGCTACAAGTAACTGCCTACTAGTAACTGGCTTCATGTACGACAATTAAGTGGGTAAAATTAGCTACTAGTAACTGGTTACTAGTAACTGGCTTAAAATGTGAATAAAGCTAGCTACTAGTAACTGGCAACGACATGTGAGTAAAGCTAGCTACTAGTACCTGGCTACTAGAAACTGACCTAAAATGTGAGTAAAGGTACGTAGGTATTAGTGACTGGCTACAATACAAATATTAATTTAAAGAAAAGAAAATAATGCATTGAATGTATTTTGTAAAGAATTTTTTTTAATAGCAATCTCGTATTTCGGTTTCGCTGGTCAAAATATATGATATTAAAATATGGTAATTTTAATCTACCTTAAGTTTAATACTATCGTTGCTTATGCATTTTGAATTTGTCTTATCTTAGAAAAAAATGTATGCTAATTTTAATTTACCTGAAGTTTAATACTCTCGTTGCTTATGCATTTTGAATTTGTCATATCTTAGAAAAATCTGTTAGTGTGCCGTTTCTTTTATATATTTCGAAGACATAACATCCGTCCGAACAGCCTTCTTGTATTTTTTATTTTGAATCGTCGCCGTAATGTGACATCACAAACGTTAATCATTTGGTCACCATCAGATTTTGGCTTGATGTGTCTTTGGGAGATGGGAAATCAGACTTTGATGTCAGTGGTTGCAATAAACCCAACGAACTTTGGTGCAGACCATCGGTCTTTTGTGCGACTATCAAACTTAGGAGTATTACATATTATGCTTTTTTACAGGAAGTTTCTACCTCTTTCTCAACACATAATACATGTATAACATAAATTACATCAGTGTCTTTATTGATCCACTTGGAGTTCTACGACTACATTTTGCAGGATATAAAGGCCATAAAGACATCGATGTAATTTATGTTATACATGTATCATGTGTTGAGAAACACGCATATTTCTTATATACCAGGTACAGACCTGTAATGAAAATGCTTGATGTAATCATTCAGCCTAACAATTATGCGAAACTTTTGTCTGTGTTTTCTTTTTCTTTTTTTATTGTTAATGACAGATGATATAAACAAAAACAATGGATGCTGGATTGGCATATATATATATATATATATATATATATATATATATATATATATATATATATATATATATATATATATATATATATATATATATATATTTTTTTTTTTTTTTTTTTTTTTTTTTTTTTTTTTTTTTTTTTTTTGGTTGTTAATGACGCAAATAATAAAGGACAAGGTGCGTTTGGTACAAAATTCGGCCCCTTGTCAGAATTAAATAATATTCTTCAAAACTCTTTGAGAAAGTATATATTTTCATGGAATTATCAATATATGCATGTACAAAGCTTTATTTTTGTTTTATATAAACGTAAAAGTAGCATAGTTTACCATAACGTTGCGATATTTTGACGTTGCTTTATGCGACGTCACGAACAAGAATTTTACGTCATGTTTTAAAATAAATCCAGCTTACATGTATATTTTATTATGTACGTTTATTAAGTCTCTTTTTCATAAATATACAGTTCGATGTAATGGTATACATGTACATGTGATAGCATACGTATAACATGCTTTCTAAACTATTTTTCTAATTTAAAACAAATCTTTAAATCAATTGGTATGGTTGGCTTTGAAAATTTATGAATTATAAGGGGGAAAGGGGGTGTACATGTACAGTACATTCTTAGCGGATTTCTCACTTTTTGACGAACCGTAATTGCCAAGCTTGATAAAAAAGACTTAAGGAGGAGAAGGACCTTGAGCTGAAAAAATACTTGTCATTCAATTTTTTTCATATTTTGTATATTTCTAATTAGGTATGTCCCACGTGTCTTAAAGCAGTTATATCATCAGATTTCTTACCTTATTTTGGAGGTATTGATTGACAAATACTATGCCCTACAGTATCTAAGTGGAGTTTTAATTCTCCATGTTTCCGTGCTCATTACTCTGTCCATAATGGGATTTTTAAGCATATATAAAAATATCAAAGTGGACATGTATCTTTTAATACATTTCAGAGTATAACTAGGATTTAAAATTCGAAAAAAGAAGTTTTGTCTGTCACACTGCATCTGGATAGGGAAAATTACACACTTTTTAAGACAACTTAAACAATAAAAAACGTAATTTACAAAAAATTCTATCATTCAGTATTTTTGATTTACGTTGAAATGCACATCCTTCAAATCATTGATTAACTGTGAAAATTTTGAATAGTGAAGCTGACCTCAATATTGCACAGGACATCGTTAAAGAGGACATAAGCATGACAAAAACGTGTCATGTTACATTTCTCGAGTACGGAAAAACCAACTATGACGTCACATGTAAGCTAAATAAGCGAAATAAGATATACCTCCATAAGATTTATGTCATCAGCCATGCAAAAATATTTTCTGTGTTCCCTGTTTCTCAAAATATTTCATCATATACTGATTATGATCAGTTTTTACATAATAATACTGCCCCTGTGTTCACCGAGTATGAGCTTGCTGTACTAACAGATCGTGTATGACGTCACCGACTTCTTGGACGCGCAGTTTAGGGAAACAGAAAAGTAGATCAATCTTTTTCATAATTTGTTGACGCTTACAAGAATGTTAAAACTTTTTCATTTTTTTTATATAAGATGGTAATTAAAGTAAAAAAAAATTGTCAAAAAATGATACAAGAACTGATGCTTTACACATTTTGCACTTATATAAACGGAGACTATGACGTAGTTAAACAGAGTTGTCTCGAGAAATATATACCTGTGAAATATGAAAGCCCTAGCAGCAACCAGTGAATATATATGGAAAAGGTTAAAGTTTTTTAAAAGTAAGTCAAACATCAAGGTCAAATGGTCAAAATTAATGGTGCCTAAGGAAACAAGAAATACACAGGTGAAGTATGAAAGCTGAACTACCAATCGTTTAAAAGTTATGACCAAGGTTAAAGTTTTTCAAAAGTAGGTCAAACTCCAAGGTCAAGGTCAATGGATTACAATTGTTGGTATCCAAAGGAAGGTCTTGTCACAAGGAAAAAACATGCCCTATCACCGACTTTTCAAAAGTTGTGTCCAAGGTTAAAGTTTTCCAAAAGTAGGTCAAAGTCCAAGGTCAAGTGGTCAAAGTTGTTGGTTTCCTAAGGAAGGTCTTGTGACAAGGATTATATATCTGAAGTATGAATGCCCTAGCACCAACGGTTCAAAAGTTATGGCCAAGGTTCAAGTTTTCCAAAAGTAAGTCAAACTCCAAGGTTAAGTCAAAGGGTCAAAGTTTTTGGTATCCAAATAAAGGTCTTCTCACAAGAATTACACATATGAAGTATGAAAGCCTTAGCTCCAACCGTTCAAAAGTCATGGCCAATGTTAAAGTTTTTTTCAAAAGTAGGTCAAACTCCAAGGTCAAGGTCAAAAGGTCAAAGTTGTTGGTATCCAAAGGAAGGTCTTGTCACAAGAATCACACATGTGAAGTATGAAAGCCCTAGCACCAATTGTTCAAAAGTTATCGCCAAGATTAAAGTTGGGAAAAATTTTGCAAAACTGATTCAAACTCCAAGGTCGAGGTCAAAAGGTCAAATATGGTGGTACCTAAAAAGGTCTTGTCACAAGAAATACACATGTAAAATATGAAAGCCATAGCTCCAACTAATCAAAAGTTATCATAATGGTAATATTAAAGTTTTTGCGGACAAACGGACAAACAGAATTTCGCAAGACAGACGGATGGACGGACGGACAGGGCAAAAACTATATACCCCCGAATCTTCGATTAGAAAAAAAAAAACTCAGTTTACTTCTCTGCAATTACTTGACATTGCTTTTCTTTGGATTGATTTACATAGGTTTACCTGTGTCTATATTATAATATTTTATTCGCTCTATCCAGAGGCAGAGTCCATCCTTGAAAAAGGAATGTATGCGAACCTTCATTTATTCTTTTCTTTCAGCAGTTCGGAAACATTTCAACATCGAAGTTATCAGCTATTTTTTTTTAAATGCAGCTTGTTCCGACACGAATATATTAGGATCTACGGGTTATTAAACAGACAGCATGTTTTAAAGATGTTTTATACGTGTTAACGTATACATCTTCATAATGTCAAGGTTTTGTGATATCGTTTCTCTTCAAATCTTTTTAAATAGGAATGATTTCACAAAACCTTGACATTGTGAAGATGTATAGGTTAATGTGTAGATGACCTACAATCTACTTGGTCTTTTAACGATGTTTAAGAGACTTTCACATTGATTCATCACCGTGGTAGACAAGAATCAAAGACACTACCTACTGGTTCATGGACGATTTCGCGGAAAAGAAAAAAATACTAATCCTTCACGGTAAAGAAGGATTTTTCGCGAAAAAGCGACGTCGACTCGCGGAAAAATGTAACAGCGCAATTGAGGAATATTCCTGTAATTTTTCCCAGAAAAGGGAGTGAGGTGTTCCATACCAACTCAAAAAAAAAAGGAAAAAAAGATCGATCCAAAGGAGAAAAAACCTTATTTGAAACAAAGAAAACTAATCCAAACCTGAAAAACCTATTTTGAAAGGGAGAATGTCACTTTACCTTCCTACATATCTTACAAACTTTACAAAGTTTTCTTAACCCTTCCCCCTTAATATTTTTGGTATTTTATTATATGAATTTTATACAAATGGTGGGTGTTGGGGTGGGGTCCAGATACCCCCCCCCCCTTGCGGATCTCTTACTGCTTCCTTTAAGTATAATTGATACCTTTTTGAAGAAAACCAATGCAAGCGTGTGTTTTAAGGAAGCTCTCAACACGTAGGAAAAACATTTTTTAGACTTTGAGAATAATTTTATCATATATAAAAGGTGAACATTATGAGCTAATCTAGTTCATTTCAATGATAAAGTGCCTGCCTTATTTTCCCAGGAATATTGTTCAAAGACAATCAAGTGTTATTGAACAGATTTACTGTTGCTTACTTATATCGGTAATAAATATGTAAATACTGTATTCAATTACTTTATCTTGGTCTAATATAATGTTAAGAATACCTCACTTAATATTGTGAACCTGTTAACTCCTGAAAATAGGAAGCAGACAGTACAGTTCATACTTTTTACATATTTCAATGGGGGGGGGGGGGGGTCTATTCAATGAGAACTTTGATTACATGAAATATTCATCGTTCCTGTATCACATATTGTAGGCGTAGAAATTAAAGAAAAATAGTTCTACATTCAGTCTATTGATAATTAATTAAGTGTATATTTTCAAGATGACAAAAATTAAAAAATAAAAAAAGAAGTTGTGGGAAAAGTATCATTATGTTCATCGTGGTATGAAATTTCAAGTAAAACTTTACCATTTACACACGTAGGGGGTAGGTTAAGATTTTTTCGACATGAAACATGGAGAGTCCAACAACACAACACAACACCCCCCAAAAAGAAAATGGAGAGTTCTTTAGTAAAGGAACATCAAAATATTGTTAACAATTAATTTAAGGGAATTCCATCAATGATTCTCATAATTATCAAAATGTCAAACTTCAAAGATCAGTGTTATAGTATAAAAACAAGTTAAGAATAGTAAAACAATTTTAATATTGAAGTGAAGGACAACAAAATTTACTATACTTTAATATTTTTAGTCTATATTATAAAAGACTAATATGTGTATTGCACGCTGTAAAATGAATACATTTTTTAAAAATAAACACGGTCCGCACAATATCACCATCGTAATTTTCTGCATATAAAATGCTTTCAAATCGGTGATATAATGCGGACCTATCGAAAAATGCTGTTAAGTCCCTGGTTTTTAAGGATTTTTCCGGAAATACGCATTCAGTGCATGATTTGACCACGAATAAACAGTATACAGGGGACACATTCTCAAAGTTTGAATTTATTTTTTTAACAAGCATATATCCAACTTTTATTTTCAATGTAAAGTTTTGATTCAGTGTAAACTTAATTTTTTAGAAATTCTCTGGGCCAAATATTATATCACATGAACCTTGTCCTTTTCTAAAATACAAAAAAAAATTGTAATCTTTCTATGATATTCAAAATTCTATCTTTTTACAACCATCCTTATTAATCTGTAGAATTTTTTGTTGATTTAAATTCCTTTATTGTAAAACTTTGAATTAAAAATTCAAATCTATGCAGTAAAACTTATTTGTTTTACTTATATAAACATTATTTTCTGTTGGATTTCAGCATTTTTTCTGAACTATCGCATTCTTGCTTTAAATGGCACAAGATCAAACTACCTTAGTTATCGGAACACAACACCGGTGATAAAAAATGTTTGGATTTCTTTTTACAATATTCATGATCAAAAGATGTAGATCAATGCAGGATGAGGATTTTCCTAAATACTCAAACAAAACCTACCGTCTTCCACGGTTCGTATTCGAATTGGTGATGATTTGGGACCTTCCCCTTTACAATTAAAGGCCAGAACACTGATTTCATACTCGGTAGAGGATGATAGTATAGATAAAACTTCCTCCTGCTTTTCAGCGTCAACGGATTTTTCCTTGGTAAACTGATTGGTCCGATTTGGGATATATTCCGCATAAAATATCTTATAGCCTTCAATCTTCCCATTTTGCTGATCTTTAGGAGGAGGATTCCACGTGACTTTGATTTTTCTGGAATCTCTGTAGGGCTTTCCACAAACATTTTCAGGAGCTGCACTTGGCTCTGTATAGAGAAGTGGAGAGGTTTTATGGAAAAGAAAATGAATAAAAACAACACATAATACGAATAACGAAAAAAAAGATGCATGCAAACACATGCAATGAATGAAATATAATGTTATACAGAATAGAGTGGTGATTTCATATGCCACATTTACATAGAGTGAGAGAGAGAGTATAGAGAAATTCTTTCTTTTTTATAAGGAAACCCATTTCTGCCCTAACCCGGGGTTGAAGTCTAGACCTACGGAATCTGTCTCCTAGCAGTACAGGAACAAACAGGCTCCAGACTGCTCGTCCTTCCAGGCAAGTCAAAAAACTTACTTTCGATGCCGATGGCATTCTCGTGGCGGCGCCCTACACGGTCATTGAGAATGGACGTGGGACATTTATTTGAACTTAAGTTAGTAGAGGCTCGTTACCGATACATATTGCAATGGAAATTATATTTTCTATTTTTAATGCACATTTTATTCACAATATCTCTTAAACTAATGTAACTGTCCTAGGTAAAGAAATAATAATATGGAAATTACAGAGAAATTCACTTTTATAAGGATACCCACTTCCGCCCTAGCCCAGGGTTGAAATCTTGACCTACGGATTCTGTCTCCTAGCAGTACAGGAATGCACAGCGCGCCAGACCGCTCCGCCATCTAGGCAAGTCAAAAACTAGCTTTCGATGCCGATGAAATTCTCGCGGCGCCGCGATAACAAAAAATGTTTAATAAATTGTGAGCAGCACGGTTTTACATAATTCTTTGATATCATACATAGATTTGTCGTGAAAATTCATGAAGAATGAAATAGAATTTGAAATAAACATACTGGATGGCTGCGTCTTTGCCTTGATGATGCCAACATCAGTCTCTACACCTTGAGTTGATAAGGCGACCTTTATGGTATACATCGTGTTTGGTTTTAATTCCTGGAGTTGATACTTCGTCCCCGTGCCTTTGAATTCCTCTCTTTTCTCTTGCTTTAAGTAATTACCGTTGAAGCATATAAAATACTTTCTTACGCCATTTTCTATTTGCTTAGGAGGGTTCCAGGATACATCTATAGTGTTAGGTCCTGTAACTTCCGCAAAAATGTTACTGGGTTGTGACGGGACTTCAAAGTAGATTAAAATTAACATATAATATATGTGCTAATCTCATTTTGTTTAATCATCATGTGAATTTATTATATCTTTTGCCTAATTTATTGCATATTACGCTAATACAATATGAATTTCAAGGCAATAAGTACTGATAGTAGTCCTATATATGACTTTTTTTGCCTTAATCTCCAATAATGGTAATCGATTTTTTATAGTGTATGAATATTGAAATGTCGATATTATATTTTTTTGTCCCTTAGGTTCCCCAATACCTTCATCTTATCATGTAACATGTAGCATGCATAAATTCATAAGTTGTACAACGTCAATATTAATAAATCCTTTCATAATTATTTGGATTCTTCATCTTAGATGTCTAAAAGGAATAAAAAGCTCTTTCAAACCTTACATAAGGTGCCATCTTTTTAGTGATATATCATGAAAAGCTATCGTAAAGATTAATTAGTGACTATAAACAGAAAATATAATAAAACAAAATAATTTTAATTTCAAGATATAATTACTTTCATATTTTAAGACTTGACCCATCGCAACCTAACGAGGGATCAACTTGCTTTCTAGACCATTGCAAGTTATTTAAAGGGCTAATGACACCATTTTATCTTCAATGTCACTTACATGTACCAAAAGAATTATAATTTACAAGTTAAGAAAAGTTCAAGATATACTCTTCCCTTGAAACTCCCTAATTTTGTAATAACTGCAAATACGAATGATTTCAAAATTTCTATATGTAAAAGGTAAAGATAACGAACAGTGATCGATCTTTAAAAAAATCCACAAATAATACAAATATGTGAAGAGGGCATAAAACACAGACCCCTGGAAATTCGAGAGGTCGGATGAGGTGCCTAGGAGGAGTAAGCATCCCCTGTTGACCGGTCACACCCGCCGTGAGCCCTATATATTGATCAGGTAGACAGAATTATCCGTAGTCAATTCAGTACAAAAACAAAGGCCTATTAATTGGTATGAAACAAGTCAGCCAAATAAAACCCAATGATAGGTTATATTTGCTAACAAGTCATTATAACGACCATAAAATTTACGAAATGTTGATTTCAAACGAGGATGTTGAAATCCCTGTAACATCAACTTTTTCAGTGGGTAGCCTGCCTGTCTTTAAAAAGCTCTTGAGTAGCAAATAAGTTGGAAGACATAAACACCATAAGCAGGTGATAGTGGAATATTACTACATAAGAAAAGGATGAAAAAGCTAATTATGAAAGTCATCTTGTTTGTCATATAATGTAGTTGTTAATTGGCCTTTATTGTCTATAGTCAATAGAATATCTAAATACAGATGTGGCAGACTCTGCGTTGTCGTCTTTTATTTCAAGTTCACTGAAATATATCGAGTCGACATACGAATGAAAATAACTAAATAAATGTTAATTCATAAAACATCGTCGATATATCTGAATGTCGAATTGAGGGTCTGAAGTAATTTTGCCGATGACCAATCACAAGATGTGAAAAATTCCGAGTTCCGTTTTATTTTAAGAAAGAGTTGTCTATGATATCAAAAAGTCTAGATTTTAATTTATCGTGAAGAATTGTTGTATAAAGTGTTGTAGAACGTCACTTTAAATAATGTAATTGGAATCCTTTATCATTTCTGAGATATCTAGAAAAATATAGTACCTTACTTTATGAGCCAGTCTTTATTTCATCACTGTAGGAAAGCCGATGACCGTAATATAGTTTACGGTCATCAAAACATGTCGGCTGAGATGAACGGTTAAAAATTTCCGACGGCGATTATAAAGATTATTCAATAAAACTGAATAATTTAAGGTAATGGTTAAACGAACTTCGATGTTATCTCCACACCGGTAGTTGTTGTTTACCCAAACAAAAGAAAATGAAATGATAAAAGGCATTCGAAATTTTGCAGTATGATGACCGTAACAAACACATTCCAGCGAGAAGATGATGACCGTAAAACAGTTTTATAGATGACCGTAATCTTTGTACAAACTCATGTTAGATGTTTTATATTTTATTTAACATCAATTCTACATGTTCTATAAAACCCCTGTAAACAACTCTGATGCGATCGGCAACACTGATAAAATCATTGAAGAAGAAAGTATCGTAGGGAGTAAGTTAAAGCTGTTTTGTATGTGCTGGAGTATAACCAGCTGTAAATAATGCTAGTAAATTTGTAAAATAATTTCTGTGCAAATGTTACGGATCAAATCGACAATGCTCCCAACATCGAATTTCCATGATTTGAGATAGTTTAGATTGTTATCATCTATATATCAACATTTAAGGTCATTCTTAGAGGTATGAACTAAACATTTTAAAATTAAAACTGTATACACTGGCATCAAAACAACTTTTAATTGGAAATTTTGACAACTGCGAGGCGATCGTCAACGACATGTATATCGTTTATTAAGCGATCGTATAACTGCGAAAAAGCGATCGTAAATTAAACGCATGAAAAAAAATATATAGCACAAATCAGTTAATTCTGTTTAGGAAGTGTTATTTCGATGTATATATTAAATTCAAATAAGGCAATCGGTCATTGTGATATATCGTTTTTAACCATTAAAATTGACCTACATAAATATCAGAAATTAAACTTAACTATGTAAATCAAGGAGATACTACGGAAAACGAATTGGAGGGCTCGCAAAATTTTACCTAAAAATTATAGCAGTTATAATATCTTATGTAATATATTTCAACAGAATAGAATTTATTTGCAGGCACGTAGTATCGTTTTTTTTTAAAAGGGGGGGGGGGGTAAAATGTAAAATTACCTTAGAACGTTTGAGAAGCAAAATAAAAAAGGAAAATTGTCCAAATTCGAACAATCCTATATTGAATGTGTTTGGGGGGGGGGGGGGGGCTGGTTGGTTTCAACTTCTTTCACAATCAAATTTTATTCACAAAGTACCAAAGTATCACATTTTAACTATACTGCAGAAAAAAAGGGGGGAACAACCTAGCTTTCATTGAACATTTCAACTGTTACAGTAAAAAGTTATGTTTAAAAAAGTGGAAGGAAGCAGCCTCACTAACCCCCCCCCCCCCCCCGGTCACATTTTGTGACATCCCGATGAGTTGTACAACTCAGAGGCAATAAAGATTTGAATTGAATTGAGTTTCATAGAGTAAGCTATCATTAATTGAACCACAGGAGTTGGAATATGGCCTTTCTGACATATTTTATCTCTTAAATAAGATTTGTAACATGATGACTTTTGTAAGAAAGCAATAAAATATGTCAAAAAGGACACATACCTATCATTTCCCCGAAATTTTCCGTATCCCGTAAATAAAAAATATATATACTATAATAATAAAAATTTTCAGAAAATGATAACACTTGTAATTTTAGTTTAATTGATAGGTATCCCAACTCCTGTAATTGTTATTTTTATAGTATAGTGTATTAATTTTTTTTCATTTACTGAAAATTTCGGTAAAATTTATAGGTATGCCAACTCCTGTGATTGAACAGCCATTCCATAGACAATAAAACCTGTTTTCTTATAATCCTAAAATTCGGTCCTTCCAATACTTTTTGTTAGTATTTGATTTATTTTAATCGAGTGCCAATAGACTTAAAAGCAAGAGTTCTGAATTTTTGATTTTGCTGTCTTGAAATGTGGATATTATCCAAGCAGAAGATTAGAAAATTTGTCCCCCCCCCCTCTTAAAAATCAAATGTTCGGTGTCCTATTCTGTTTCAGCCCATGTAAATCGGTAATCTCTTACTATATTTCATTAAACAGTTAAGGGTATTTAAGCACGATCGCATGTTTATCATATTTTCTTAGTTGTATGATCGCACACAGAATCGTTGCCGATCGTAAAAATTTGACACGTGTACACTTCAAATTTTTATTTTGACGCTTTCTGTTTGATATTACGGTCATCATAAATTTACGGTCCTCCCACTTCACCGAATAAACCTCGATTACGGTCATCTTAATATTTTGTTACGGTCATCATTCTCAAAAACTTTGAGGTCGTGCTACAGCTTTATTTTCTTGAGTTCAAGTAAGCTATAATAACCAATAGCAAGTTTTCATTAGCGTACATTAAATTTTCAGCGGAATTTACACAGATATACTAACAAATTTTTGATATCTTGAATGAAAAACTCTTACCGATCAGCTCGGCCGACATGTTTTGATGACCGTAAACTATATTACGGTCATCGGCTTTCCTACAGTGTTTCATGGTATCTAATGAATCATTCTTACATTTCTTACAGCTTGAATAAGATATAATAAAATGTTTATACTTCCCAATATATTATTACATTTGTGTTTGAGTCGCCCGCGTGGCGCAGTGGTTAGAGCGTTCGCTCTAGAGTCGCGGAGTAAGGAGTTCATCCTTACGTCGCAGGTTCGAATCCCACTGTGGGATGTGGAGACCGGTCCTTCGGATGAGACCGTATAAACGGAGGTCCCGTGTCGCAGTAGGTGCTGGCACGAAAAAGATGCCTCACTGCTCAATGGCCCTAAGTGCCGAGATAGGTCAAAATTTGCAGCTCTCCACCGGCAAGTGGTGGCGTCTCCATATGAGTGAAATATTCTCGAGAGGGCGTTAAACAACAATACACAACAACAACAACAACATTTGTGTTTTAGGGATGGGTCCTATTTTTCTAACTAGATGTCATATGGATTACTATAATTATAGCGAGTCGTCCAAAGATTCTGTTGTTCATTTTCAAAAATGCTTTCGAAATGTTAATAGTCTACGAAATATGAAAAAGGATAATATCTATGTTTATTGTCCCTAAAACTCTCTAACGTAATGTATACAAGTATAAATGACATCGCTACTTGTCTTGTGTCAATATCAACAATTTTAACCGTCTTTGAAATATCTAGAGAAAGTTTTAAGCCATGTAGAATCCAATTTTTTTATTTCCGAAATTAATCAAAGGAACTCTTCATTTTGAACAACTTAACTTAATATGTTTTTACAAAATATTTACAAGCAATGAAGTTTTGTATAAAAAAAAATTGTTCAGCTTGAAATTGGCGAAATATCGTTTTTGGGCCATAGCGGAAATCGGCATGCAAAGCTTCCGCGTCAATAAGATGAGTATGTCACATCTACAAATATTGCTCTATCATCACTAGTCTAGATGGAAACTAAAAGTATGGAATTCAGAATATGCAAAGAAAAATAAAAATGTCGATTTTAGGGGTATTATTTTGTCTATAGAAACTTTTTGTTCAAAGGGTTAGAAAATTTGACGATTACAATTACATTTGTACAATGTATTACTATATTCTATTTAGCAGTTATTCATTTAAACAAACAGTGATATTCAGACAACTTACAACTACACATTAACCAATATCAAAATTGGTTTTATATCAGTAATCCTGTAAATCAAAGAAATAAAAGAACCCAATAAGTGACAATAAGGAACAGTAATGGATCTTCTTTAAAAAAAAATACGAACAATACAAGTCTGTGAACGGGGCATAAAACATGGAAAATCCAGAGGTGGAATCAGGTGCCTAGAAGGAGTAAGTATCCCCTGTCGATCGGACACACCCACCATAAGCTCTTTGTCCTGATCAGGTGGAAATTTAGTATAAAAAAGTATAACAATCGGTATGAAATACGTCGGATAAAATACGTATATAAAATACTCGTATAAATATGAGGATTGTTTGATAAATTCGTAATCAAGTTTCACTATTTTACCAACATTTTAGAAGAAATTCATTTTTTATGTCAAGTTATTTTACACAAGTAAATGCATTAAATATGTAAAAATCAAAGAAATACATCAACAAATATAGAATTGCGAAGAAAAACTACGAAACATTGCATCGATAAGTGGTGTTTTAAAATCACTTTAAAAAACGTCAAAATTGCGTCAAATATATTTTACTCTTTTTTTAAAGTAGACGCCTTAAAGGTTTATACATTTTTTTATGTCTTATGCCCTTTTCTGGTTTACAGAGTAAAACTTACTTTACCTGCTTTATCTAGAGTGTTCATATCGCTTATTCCGTAATATTACTACGTAAAGAAGGAAAGGTGACAATTAAATATATTAATTCATCTCGTTTGTCATACAATTTTATTGTTATCTGGCCTTTATGGTCAGTAAAACAAATAAATATGATACAAAAGTGGCAGACTCTGGGGAATCTGAAATTAAAACATGCAAAAGTTTTTATTACCAACAAAAGTTGAAAAGAAACAAAAGAATAACAAGAATGTCTTCAGTTGAGACAAAATTCGCCCTAGTTGTTTGTCCCCCTGCTCATTGCAGTGCTTAACAGGAGTAAAAATATCACAACAATTTATTAAATAATAATATTTGCTTTTAAAAAATAATAGAGAGATTGAGATCTTGAACTTGTAAGTGGCTGCAACGTTATTTTTGACAACTCACACGAACGATCACGTTACACGAACGATTCCGCACGATTAACGCACGATTGAACCCGTTACATGAACGATCTTTCACACACATGATTCTACACGTTACACTTTCACGATTTCTAACGTGTACGCATTCTTCACGCAAAATAGTTAGAAATATTTAGGAGTGGATATTTTCTAAACGATATAAGGCTTACGATACATATTTTAGATTGAAAATAATTATTAATGCAAGTCATTTACTATGGAAAACTGAAAAAAAAAATTAGAAATGGATATATTTGAAACTAAATAAGAATTTTTAAAAGTTATTTAAGATCACAAATAATTATTTATATAATTCTCCGACTTCGGAAATTTGATATTTTTTATCTTTTCGATACGTAAAGATGTAATTTATCATCGATTGCTGCATGTCAGATGTCACTGTAGGTAGACCGTGAGTTTTGATTCCAATGTCTTTTAGGATATGCATTAAGGGGGGGGGGGGGGGGGGGGTAAAACAATTGGCATAATAAATGACTTAAGACTATACCTTCCTTCCCATTTGTAAATCTTTAAAATCAGCAATTATTTTACAATTCATTCATTTGCTGAAATTATAAAAATAAAATAAGTAACAGGAATAAACACTGAGAAAAGTAACCCCGATAATACATTCGCCGAATAAAATTAATATTTATGTAAGCAATGAGAATTATATATTTATTTTTGTTTTTGAAAAGATATACATTTTTGATGCTTTGATTTAAAAAATATGTTGACCACAATTAGCAGTAAACAAAATTTATATCAGAGAAGAAAATCGATTAACATTTTAGATATGTTTTATCTTTAAAAGTTACGCGGTCGCCCGCGTGGCACAGTGGTTAGAGCGTTCGCTCTAGAGTCGCCGAGTGAGGAGTTGATCCTTACGTCGCGGGTTCGAATCCCACTGTGGGACGAGGACACTGGCTTCTCGGATGAGACTGTATAAACCGAGGTTCCGTGTTGCAGTAGGTGCTGGCACGAAAAAGATCCCTCATTGCTCAATGGCCCCGAAGGACGAGTATAGGTCAAAATTTGCAGCTCTCCACCGGCAAATGGTGGCGTCTCCATAAGAGTGAAACAATAAACAAACAAACAAATAAAAGTTACGCCATTTTAAGAGAATACAAAATCGTACGACTTACTAGATAGCTTAATTACTAGCGATAATTAGTTCGTTCAAATATGTAAATCGCGCTTCATTTCTTTTATTTCAATTTTAAAAAAAAATAAATAGATGCAGACAAGCGAAATCGAAATATGCACGTTTCTTGCCGCACGGTCACGCACGATTAAAACCGCAAACAATTGAGCCTGATACACGTACGATCTCTCATGTTACACGAAAGATCACGCACGTTTTACGAACGATTCTACACGATTGGTTGGTCAACAATAACGTTGCAGCCACTTTGCATATACTTTGACGTACACGTACACGTTTTTGTAATTTGTCTGTTGGGATTTTAATGACGTTGAGATCTTAAACTTGTACGCGTATGTGTACATGTACATATACTTTGACGTACTCGTACATGTTTTAGTTATTTGTCTATTTATTTTAAGGTATGTCACTCGTCAGCTTTTTAGAAAAGTTCAGTCAGAACCTCTAACTTAAAAACTATTTATTACAATTCAATCTTTATAACATATTTAAATTAAGCAATGTAAAATGTTCAACATTCAATTAAAAAACTGCTCAAAAATTCATTAAAAAACAAGATTTATAAGGGACTATTTCTTGTGGTGGAAGGATATTTAACAGAAATTTCTGTAAATCTACACATTTATTATATTTAATATCTTGGAACTTTAGCCTTACATACTTTTACTCAGAGAATATATTCCGTTATGATATGCCTGGAATATTAAATATAGGTCTCAATTTATATTTTTATAACAAAATTTACACCTTTGCTCAACAAATTTTGCCAAGAAATGAAGATATATTAAAGAAGTCAAGAAAAAATTTAAACAGTTTTTTGCCAGAAAATCGCATATTTTGACCAATATTTCAAAATTTACATCACTGACCCCAACTTTTTCTTTCATTATTTTAAATTACTCGATACTTTTGACCGACCAGCACTTAAGTCGTAAAAAGTTTGATACAAGAAAATATTCTATTGCCTATTTAGATTTTTAATACCCCAAATATGAGACTTTTTTAGAGCAGAAAGGTCACACAATAATTCATGCGCATTAATTTGCATGATTTGTTCAATGATAAATATTATTCAAACTATTTTACGTAAATTAAGATTATGTTTATTGCCATGGTTACATCTGATAAAATATGATAACGGTTAAAGTGATTAACCAAAGAGTTACAATTTAAGTGCAAAAAGGTCAACTTAATTGTACCGTAGCTCAGTTAGATGCACACTGACACCCCATTTTCTCTGCGATTTTGAGTCATACTATATGAGTTCTTATCCAAAATATACTTCTCAAAAAATCCTTGATATAAGAAATTTCACGAGTGACATACCTTAATGACGTGTAACATGAACGTGTACAATGCGATCCGTGTCAATTGTGACATCAGTTTGACTTCATTTAGTAAATAAAGTACGGTTAAATTAAGTGCTCGTGAAACTAAACATTCTAAATAATGTACACCAATCATACCGTAAATTGTAAACTGTAAATTGACCAACTTTATTATAATAGTTACAAGTTTACACTTGTACGTGTAGATGCCACTTTACAAGTTGTAAGAACGTGTAGAAAACTTGTCATCTCTAAAACTAATGAAGTAATACGCGAGAAATTTAGGATTTTCCCCTACTAGACGTACCCGTACACGTACACGTATGATATATCAACCTCTCTAATAAAGCAACACTTACTTGTAGAGAGTACCAATGTCGTTGCGTGTGAAACAAAACGCTTAATAGCATTCCAAATTTTCCGGTGATAATCAGTTTCTGCAAATAAAAACTGATTAATATATTATCCTTATTAAAAGAATCTTGAAATGAGCACACGTGTTCAAATGCTTCATTGTTTAATTGAGACTGCATTAAATACTCATTAACAATATATACATAGGCAAAAGTATTATATGGCAGAAAGCACGGGAAAATATCTGGTGTGAAATGGTTATCAATATGTACATTAAAAATGTTATAATTAGGAGTGTGCAGTACGAAGTATAATTTGTAACTTTAAGATACAACTGTGACCATGGTCATCACCTTATTGTGTTTGTGTGTTTTTATGCCCCCGTAATCGAAGATTCAGGGGCATATAGCTTTTGCTATGTCCGTCCGTCTGTCTGTCTGTCTGTTTGTCCGCAAAAACTTCAACCTTGGTCATAACTTTTGAACGGTTGTTGCTAGGGCTTTCATACTTTAAATGTGTACTCCTTGTGATATGACATTTCCTTGGGTACATTTATTTTTGACCTTTTGACCTTGACCTTGTAGTTTGACATACTTTTGAAAAACTTTAACCTTGGCAATAACATTTGAACAGTCGGACCATATTCATATGTGTATTTCTTGTCACAAGACCTTCCTTTGTGTACCAACCATTTTGACCTTGAACTTGGAGTTTGAACTACTTTTGGAAAACTTTAACCTTTTCCGTAACTTTTGAACAGTTTGTGCTACAGTTTGTGAACAGTTGGCGGAGGGCTTTTATATTTTGTATGTGTATTTCTTGTGATAAGTCCTTCCCTAAGGTACATGTACTAATAATTTTGACCTTTTGTCCTTAAACTTGGAGTTTGACCTTCTTTTGAAAAAATTTTTTAATCCTGGTCATAACTTTTGAATCGTTGGTGCAAGGGCTTTCATATTTCACGTGTATATTCCTTGTGACAAGACCTTCCCGTGTGCACCATTAGTTCTGACCTTGACCTTGGAGTTTGACCTAGTTTGTAAAACTTCAATCATAACCATGACCTTTGAATTGTTGGTGCTAGAGCTTTCATCTTTCACAGGTGTATTCCATGTGAGAAGACCTTTCTTTGGGTACCATCATTTTTTATCTCGACCTTGGAGATTGATTTGCATTTGAAAAACTTCAACCATCGCCACGGTATGCCATACGGGGGCATCAGTGTTTCACAAACACATGTTGTTTTCTACTGGTCATTATTTTGCCTCTTCTCCATTCTAACCTTTCACATTTTCGCCCGTCTTGTCCAGAGCCACCACATCAAATTTAGTTTTAAATAACAGAAATCATTCAGCATAAGGAGGATTCATTTATTTATTCAAACGAAGTGGTTCAACAAATACATTGTTCAAGACCGATAATTTAGAAATGGTGAAAATAAGGAATTATTTTTTCATAGATATCTTCTACAAATGAGTTACTTGGGCGATCAGCATGAATTACTATATAAAGCGAAGGTTTAAATTCTATATAGTCATGGCAGCTCATCAGTGTCCAATTTCACAAAAGAACTCGATACTAGGACCAAAATGTAATTTTGTGAATAACTTTATTTCACATTAATATAAAATTCTTTTTATCTGTCCTAGAAGAGGTAGATAATCTTTAATAAAATCAATATTTTTTCAAGATTTTACAATCAGTCAAAATTTTTGGTATTAGTCCCAAGTTCATTTCTAAGAGCTTAAGAGCCCCTGAACGGACCGAATATGGGGAAAGAACCAGTGATAATTACAATACCCAATGTTAAAGTTTCGAATCATGGGTGCATCAGGGCGTTTCGATTAGCACGTAATTGTATAGAAGTCCATATAAAAAGGTCCTTTTTTTTTACTTGAGCGTTGAATAACTAGCACACAAATTTAAAAAAGTAAATCCTTGCAAATTTTGCCCTAGTGGAAATTAATACGTCACCGTATTGATTCTCCGAGTAGTCTATTTTTCTTTTCAATAATACCAAAAAACTTTTTGCACTTTATGTATCTGAAAATATTAATTTATTCGAGCTAATAGAGTTAGTTTTAAATCTTCTGTCAAGTTGAATCTTAAACAAGAAGCTCGAAGGCGGGAAGAAAGTATTTATATATGATCTTTTTTTATATATTTCCATGTTTTAACAAATACTGTATATTAACTAAAAATTTAAATCTATATTAATTATAATAATAATCGAAAAAAAAACTTTATCAACTTCTTCTTTTAAAGTCAATTGATCGTTCGATTTAAGGTATCCGACCCATAATAGCCCCAGATTCAATGAATCTGAATGCATAACAGATATATATTGGCTGAATACTACGAATGTTTAGACATAATCTTCATGTCATAATATCAGCATGTTAGAGCGGAATGTCCTAATTTTTGACACTGTCCTGTCATTGAAGGGTTACATCCCTTTGTTTTAATCAATAAAAATCAACTCTAAAAATCATTCTGGTAAAAAATTATACATGTATTTTAATCTTTCTTTTTCTATTCCTAATAATTAAATGCATCTTTCCACCACAGCATTTTATGATATTCTTAATATTAAAATTTTTATTTTCAAAAATTTGCTTGTCCCCATAGACCTTAATGCAATCTTCATTAATTAATTACTGCTTATATAGTTATATTTTTGAAAATTTCCCTTGGTAAATCCTTTTCTACTCTAAAATGCTTTGAATTAATATCAGATTATTTAATACAAGATGGATATTTTAGGTTAGAAATTAGATCCTAATATGGGACGGATACCTTACTGATATATTACATGACATTGTTTTATTTCTACTAAGACAGACAGAGGGACATCTTTCACTACTCAGTGAACAAATAACGAACTTACTTTTAAAAAGTTCGATGAGGCTACCGAATACAGCCATTGCTATGACGAAATGCACTGGCATTGGTATCTTTGATTGCACTGTCAATATAAAAAATACAATGTATATCCTCACATCTCAAACTTATCAATAAGCTAAAACAATAAAGTAGGAGAAAAAACAAGTTCTGGATGCAAATATTATATAAAAGTTAGGTATCATTCACTCGTTTATTTTGTACATTTTAATATAATTCTTTGTTGAAAAATACGATTTATGAATATATTATATATGCTCTAATAAAGGTTTTCCATCCCTAATAGGACCTAATTCTCTATCCTTAAATATCCATCACGTATTAATTCAAAGCATTTTACAGTAGAAAAGGTCTACCAAGAGAAAGTTTCAAAAATGTAATTAACTAAGCAGTAATTAATTAACAGAAATTGCATTGAAGTCTATGGAGACAAGCGATTATTTTTTTAGAATAAGAATTCAAATACTAAGAATATCAATAAATACTGTGGTGGAAAGATGCATTAAATCATTAGAAATAGATAGACAATTGAGAACAATTTTTTTACCGTATAGAATTTTAAAAATTGATTTTCATTACTTAAAAAAAAAGGAGATATCTCTTCAACAAAGGTCAAGGTCATTAATTGGGGCACATTCTATTCTTACAAGCTAATAGTAATAAATGGGAATTTTGTCTTAGTATACTGAGTACTCCACCCGTACACATCTGTTATGTATTCACATTCATTGAATCTGAGGCTATTAGGGATGGAATATCTTAAATAGGTCCAGCTAGGCTAAACCGAGGCTTGTGATTGAAATGGGGAAAGTCTAAATAATCTAGATCAGAATTAGAAAAACATCTCTATTATGATGCTTCAAATATGAAAAACTCCTTCTTAATTAGTATACAAAGATATTTAATTGATGGGTGTCCCGATATTTGGTCATTTCATTAGGATGATCTTAACAAGACATTGTGTCACAAAGTTTTAATTAAGGTACAATATCACATTTAAAACTGTACTTGAAATTGTCGCATAATACATTTAGTTTTTTTTTTCTGTAAAATTCAGTTAACTATCAAAGATAAATTTCTAGAAAATAAATAAAAAATCTTTTAAACATTTAATTCATTATTATAGCAACGAAAAATTGGAATTTTACTGAAACATCAGAATTAAATTGACGCTTATAGCATGCGTCTGTTTAAGAGTTAATCTATGAAGTCAAAATTGAAATTCACACCATACCCAAACCTTTAAAGGCTAATTAATGTGGTATAGCCGCTTTATGATTAATCGTCAGTATAATCATTGTATGTGAAAAATGAAGGGTTTTCCTCAAATGTGCCACTCTTTAAAAATTACTTATATAATAAAAATTAATCTAAACATTTTTGATAAAGACCAATAAAAAATAAATATTTACATGTCATGTCAGAGACTTTGTTTACGTTAAAATTTACATTTTAATTAAAAAAAAGTCTAAAAATAACTAGCATTTAAGAAATACATCGGGTCGTACTGTGAATCAATTAAAATTTAATAAAAGAAACCCTATTCTCCATTACGTTTTTTTTTTGTTTGTTTGTTTGTTTGTTTGTTTTTTATTACAATTTATGGAAAATTATGTTAGTTGCAATACCGAATAATTCCTAAAATTTTAACAACGAACACCTTTTTACAATGCATATTTTTCAGCTTTGGTATCTTAGAAAGCGAACATTTCAGCATTTTTTTATGAATGTGCTTTGTTACAACGCACTTTAAAAAATTACACTCTTTGAAAAAAAAAATTCAAAGTGAGTTAGACTTAATTCTTGCAAGATATGTCTCGGGTGCAAAGGGAAAAAAGTTAACCAACTTTGAAAAAATTTATTTCTTTTCAAAGTGCATTAATGTCGACTATATAAACGCACTTTGAAAAAGAAACATGCAGGGCTTGGTTAAATTTTTTGCAAATTTTATGTATGATAAATTATTAATTGAACCTGTTTGGATATATTTTTGGTGATGGCGTCACTTAAGGATCTAAGATATAGATGTTTTAAAGATTTTTAGGGCTTGTCTTGTTCCCAAAATGCCTCGTAAATGTTATAAGTGGGAAATGGGTCTTTTAGAATAATCGAAATTATTTGATAAATATCAAATACTGCAAAATTAATTCAGGTTGGCTAACCGCTGTTCTATTACAAATCTTTTGCCGTACATGTTAAGCACAATTCGTGTCTCAGTTACAATCACTGAACGGGTTATCTATTTTCTCATCCATCCAACATCGTGATCAGCCAAATATTCAGAAAAATCAGTGCCCATCAAACAGTCATTTTGGGTCATCATGCCGCCTGTAAAAAATAACACGAAGCCACCTGCAAATTAGCGCTGTCTAGAGGAAATGGGTTCAGTCGCACGCAGAAAAGGGAGGACGAAGCGTCCCCGACAGGAGACACGGACACAGTGTCCCGTGGAGGACCAGTTCCCCAATCTTGCCTTTCAACTCGCAGCGGAGCTGGTCCCTTTGTACCCCGAGATATATCTCGCAAGAATCCAGTGACCTTTATCGTACTGATGGCACACACTTGTCTAATTGTGGCAATCACAATAAGGTATTTTTCCCGCAACAACCAAGTAAAACTGATTATTTTTCTCACGTTTTGTTTTCCTATGTGCAATAGCAATAAATAGATACAAAGGTAATTAAACACACATACATATGTAGGTTAATATATAGACATATGTAAATAGTTGCTTCAGTCACCTGTGTTTTTAAGCATAGGCCTCATCTAGTCTATACTTTAGGAGGGAAAATGTAGGGTACATGGTTTAATGTCTGTGGCGGGGCTCGAAAGTGCGTTGTGGTAGCTGATCACTAATTCTGCTCGAAAACCTGTTGTCTCCTCCCACCTGCTACTAAAGCAGGGGGCATGTGTTATGTTTACCCTCAAGTTGGTCAAAAACTTAATAAGAAAAAGGGTCAGTATTTAAAGGCAAATGGTAAAAGTGAGGCTCACAGCTAGGTCATTGCTGGGGACACATCCACCTCCCAATAAAGGGAGGGGAAGATTCAGGCTTGTGCATGTTTTTTTTTCTTAGGCAATTGTAGGGCAGTCTACAGGTTGGTCCCAATCATACATTTATACAGGTAGCTCCCAGGAGACAGGCGAGAAGGGCAGGCATCACTACCCTCCTCAGAACGCAGTGACTCGTTCAGGCTCTGGGCACATATGTTCTCATAAGGCTCCCAGTGGGTCCTTTACATTGGGTAGTTAAATTGGAACACTGGTTGCTCCCCAGTTACCCACAAAATTTTCTATGCGACCTTTTCCACAATGTTTCACTTAATGTTTGTGTCTATGTCTGCAAATTAAAAGTTATATATGTGCAAACTGTGTTATCTTTTGAATTCTGCTGCATAAGCAGTTCTGTTGAGTCACAATGCAGCTACCTTAGTTTGTGTTTGTGTTTTACAGCTAATTGTTTGGTGGTGTTGAGAGGCCATAAAGAAATGAGTGATGTATATTTATACACGGACAGAGATAGAATATCTTATTTATATCCCAACATAAAAAATGAAGTCAGACACACTAGTACAAAATAACGGTGGATCCAAGCTATGTGGATTAGATTGTAGTTGTAAATGTTTAAATATTAATGTGCACAGTAGTTAGCTAGCAGGGTCAAATTCAAAGTGGCCAAGTCTATAATTAATGGAGGAATTTTTATAGCACAATTTCGTTACTTTTTTATTTTATCTAGTGTATAATAAGTTCGGTAGATGTAGGGGTCAATGAGTGACTTAAAGCATCGCATTATTCTTTGGAAAAAGGAAGCAATTATGATTTTCCATACCATGGAAATTCTTTTTCCCTCTTTTTTCTCTGTCTCTAATCTATCTATCTATCTATCTATCTATCTATCTATCTATCATCTATCTATTATATTTATCTATCTATCTATTGTGAACATATATGAAACAATGGTTGACTCATTCATTTTATAGTAAGAAAAATAAGTCCTAGCCATAATACTTACTCCCTGAATATTTTACCTCGTTCACAAATAAGTTTTCTCAAAAAATCTTATAAATTAACGTTCAATGAAGCATACCTCAATTTTTTTCTCATCTAGTTAACGTTAACTTAAATTTATTGAGAGAAAAAATTTCAATGACATATCAGTTATGTAAATACATATAGATAAAGAGTTGGGCTGAGGGACCTTCTACCTGTCTTCTCCTCATTTTCGATCAATTTTTCAATTTTTTAAAAGAAATGTAACAAAATTATGTTGTTTATTACTAAAATCTAAGTACAATATTTTTGACGCATACATATTTTTTCAAAGTACGTTAAGTGTCTTCATGATAAAAAATGAACAATCTTACCACGCGTTGATTTTGTCCAAAAGTAAACGTACTTTGAAGAAAATTCAATTTTAACGCACTTTGAAATTTTTTTCAAAGTGCGTAATTTTTTTATGATGCATTGCCACAGTGCCTTGACAAATATACATTTTGCTCGACCTAATGACTTATTTCCCTAAAATATTGCTATTGAAAGGACATCCTTTCTGATTGGTTATGCTGATAAAATAATTAATGTTATAAGTTGCCATTTGAAGTACCAATATTGTTCGAAATGCAAAAAGAGAGATGTAGAATAAAGAACATAAGACTATTTAAAATGTCGTTGTAACCTACCACCATCAAGGGTAACATTTATCAAGTGTTGTACGATGCGATCACCATAATGGATCTTTACTAAATAAAGCCCTTTATGTGAGTTCTCAAAAATATCTGCAACAGGTATCTCTAATCTTGAGGATGTCGAGTACTCTAAAACGTTGCACTCGTCGTCGCTTACAGTAGTACCAGGTTCAGCTTTTAACAAGTGGAAAATGGATTCATCGTTGTCATCCTACAATGACAGAATTATCATAGTCATTTATGGGGGGGGGGGGGTTTACACCTTTAACATTTACTGATTTTAGAGTGGCGATGGACAGAGATAAATCAAATGTGTAAATTGAAAAATTTAAAAAGATAAACAAAAACAGTTCATTTTAAACAGTTATTCAGATCCATGAAATATATGGAGATAACGAACAGTATTCAAGCTCAAAAGTCCATTAATCAATACAAAATAGGAGCAGAGCAAACACGGACCTCCAAACATCGGAGGTGGGATCAGGTGTCATGGAGGAGTGAGCATCCCCTGCCGACCGGTCACACCCGCCGTGTGCTCCTTGACATGATCGGGAAATAACGGAAAAATCCGTCGACAATTCAGTGTGTAAATAATGGCCTAACAATTAGTATGAAAAACGTCAGTCAGCATTTGACTCAATGATAAATTGTATTTGCTGACAAGGTCATTGTATCGACCATAGAACTTACGAAATGATGACTTTAAACGAGACAGCTGATATTCTTGTTTCATCAACTTATTTGTCAATAACTTACCTCGTTTTAGAAATTGTACATACGTAGAGCATGCTCTTGCGTATCGAATCAACTGAGAGATATATACCCCGTATGCAGGTGATGAAGGTATATTGCTGCATAAGTAAGGGACGTTGACGATTGAAAAGTTAAAGTCATCACGTTTATCATAAAGCTTGGTTGTTAGATTACCATTAACGTCTTTTTCAAGTAAAATACCCAAATATGAAACAGATGTGTCAGACTCTGTGGTATCTTTTATCTCAAGTTCACAAGGATATATCGTATCGACATAAGAATGGAAATAGCCATTGTTAATTGACAATACGTCGTCGATATATCTAAATGTCGAGTTGAAGGCCACATCAAGTGTTTTCTTCTTTTCACGTACAAGATTTTGGACAAATTCTGCTTCATATGAATACAAAAAAGGTCTGCTAATAACGGGGCGCAATTGGTACCCATGGGAATTCCAATAGATTGTTGGAAGACCTGGTCTCCAAAAACCACATAGATATTGTCAATCAGAAACTCAAGCATCTTTTTAATGTCAACTTCAGAGTACTTGTGTGAACAATCAGAATGTTTTTTAACAAAATAATTTTGCAAATGACCACTGACAAGAAAAGTATATTTACGAGTTCCATTTTTATTGAAAAAGCAGCTGTCAATGATATTAAAAAGCCTGGACTTTAATTTATCGTGGGGAATGGTTGTGTATAAAGTTGAAAAGTCATACGTTTTTAAGCTGTTGATTTTGGTAAAATCTTGTGATTTCAAATTTTCCAAAAGTTCCTTGGAATTTTTAAGTATCCACATCTGATTTACACCACTTCTCGAATATATTGTTGCACAGTACTCTTGAAGTTTCTCCTTCACCACTGTTAATATCTTAGTGAGGAGTAAAGATAGAGGCTTGGTTGAACATTTACTGGAACCCGCTATGTATCTTTGTTTGTAAGGATTTTTATGAAGTTTCGGAATCCAATATAAATATGGTAATTCAAATTCATTTTGGTTGTTTGGAATATTAAAAATATTCAAAACTGACATATGATTTTGAAGAATTTCTTCCTGGGAAAGGGAACTATGAGTATCAGTTGGATTACCACTTTTAGAATTAAATCCAAGTTCTTCTAAAATACATTTAATATAATGAGCCTTACAAACAACGACAATGTTATTACCTGCTTTTTCAGCAGGGACCAGTACGTACTGATCATGTAATCTATCTAATTCTTTTTTCACTTCTGGATTATTGAAAACAGAAGGATAGATGGTTTTCATATTGCCCTCAATCTTTTAATGCGCGATTTTAACATACATCTGATACATTTAATCCATTCTGACAAAGTGTCAAGGTCTTCTTTTTCATGTCTGGCCCATCGCCTGGCGTAGTCCTCTACAGAATCCATAATATTTATGAAATTCCGACGCCAGTTGAAGGATCTGGGTTCCCTAAATTTAGGACCTTTTAAAATTAGTGATCTAAGGTCCTCATTATTAGTTATATTTACGTCACCAGTAATAACGTGTCCAGCAGGACTATAGTTATAGGGCGAAGAACATGAACACGATGGAGGATTATGCTTCAGATTTTCGATATCCAGGCCCTGTAGAGTTTTCTTGTAATTAAAAAGTTTGGAAGCAATAGTCGATGTATATTTGTAGGAAATACAAGGTGGAGTCTTTAACTTGAAATATGGTGGAATACAAGACTGGACCCTTTTGTGATTAAGAATATTACTTATATTTACCGCGTCAATTCCTTTGTTGGCATATTGAAGTTTAAGGAAAAAAACGGATTGTTTTAGCTGCATTTTCTTCAGTAAAACGCGGGGGTTTAAAAAGCCTATGATTGGCAATATCCATAATTACAGATCCGAGCCTATATTCTGGTGTCGAGGAATCAAAAATGGACTTTCCTTGACTTTTTCAAGAAGACTATTTAAAAGTTTCAAAGGGACAGAGTAAAGTTTGGTGCGAATATGATGTAGACCTAACTGTTGATTTACGTAAGGTAGTAATGAATCAAAAGAGACATCGTGTTTTAAAGGTTTATTGTAAGACCGATGCCCATGACTACGCTTACGTCTCTGTGTATGGTTAAAAAGTCCCATCACATTTACGTTGTTACACTGTGGACTGGAAAGATTTCCAACACTATCGACATTGTCATTACATCCATAGGGAAAGGCTGTCCCTAGCTTTCTTATCCAAAATTCTTCTCGTTGTCTACGAAAGGTGTACCCAGTGATGGACTGTTTGTGTGGTGGTAAATCTTTTCCAGAATTCTAACTTTCATTGACAAAATAGAATGATCAGGTAGATTAAAATGTTTGTATAAAAGTTGTTGACCCCCATTATTTATCTGAAATCTATGACCTGATGTTCTTTTATTGAGTGATCCCTTGGTTTCACCAACATAAACAAGTCCACATAGATTATATTCTATTCCGTAGACAACATTAGAAGATTTGCAGTTCAGATTTTCCCAAGTTTTGGTACAGAAGCTCTGTCCAGTAAGATTACTGGTGAAAGAAGTGTTAGTTATCAAAATGTCACAGGTTTTACAGTTTTTCGCAGAACATTTTGAAATAGAAGACATGGGATCGGAAAAGGAGTCTTCGAATATATCTCTAATAGAAACTTTACATTCTTTCAATTTTTTGTATGAACTATTGGTTTTATACCAAAACTGGGAATCTGAAAACTGTACATATGACATATGTTTAATATCCCTGAGGATTATCCGAGGGGCACCGAATGAACTCCTTGAGTCTGTGTCCCTTATAGACTCAAAAGATTTCATATTCATGCATTGACGTTTTCACGTTTACGCTTATTATGATGTGATCCATGGGATAAATGCTAATAAAACAAAAAAAAAACTGTAAGACGTTCATCAAAATTTGATAACATTGACTCTTTCTTTAATATGACTCAAAATTCAACTCATCAATGTAAAAGTAACTGGAAGGTAATTATGAACGTGTACATTGAATAGAATGTTCATGCTAATCACAATGCACATTTTCACATATACATGTACTTCATAGTTCACAATCACTTTTTTCAGGACTTTCATTGAAAAATGATAGGCTTGGAAGGTAGCATTATTCTAACTAATTATCAATCTCAAAACTCAACATAAATTCAGAATACATTACCTTATGAAGCACTGTTATCATAGGAAGAGGAAACATGCATGACGCTTTCACTTCTAGCACGATTTTTTCTTTATTTTTCAATAGAATATCCGTGTCATTCTTACCATCTGCTATCACAGAAATAAATTCTGGATGTTCTACAAAAGTATCAGAAAATACGAAGTGATAAAAAGAAAGAACAGAAATACGTGCATGTATTTCTTCATCAGACTTGATTTTCACCGTGATTAAAAAAAAATCCATATTGAATAGGTATTGTTAGGGTCTGATAATAAAAATACACTTACATATTAAAATAATGCAGAATAAGCATAATAGATTGAGTACTCATCAGATCTAATTTCTGTACTGTATAGATTCAGTTTCTAGTATACTGGTTTCTTGTTTTATGTAGGTTCAATTATACTTTTATTGTATTTTTGACAACAAAATAATGCTCTCCAGTCGTTTTGTAGGAATAAAATATGTATTTAGAGTCTGTGTCAGGCAACAACAGATTTTTTAGTTATAAAACTAAGCCTGCAGTTTCAGTACAAAGTAGAGAGTTTGCTTAGAATTCTTGAGCAATTTGAATACAATAAGCCTTTAAGGTAGTATGGGATACCTCCACGTTATGACGTATTTCCGTTTGAAGTATTGTTTTGATTTGCATGAGTGCTTATTATCGGGTCAAAATTTGTAGATACACCGTTGAAAAGAACACTCTGAAGCCTATTTCAATGCAAGTTCTCACAAGTCGGCATTTTAAGTAAAAACAGACAAAAAAATCGCAAGTATATAAATTTACTTATAATTGTACAACGGACATTTAAAAAAGCAAACCCCTGTAAAAGGTAGTTTCAACATTGCTGCTTTTGAACACTTTTAAGCAAAAGCTGTATTTCAATTGTTTGAGTAACTGTAAACCACCTTGTGTGCGGTGAGGCATGGATAAGTGCGATTACTTCACATTGTGCTGAATTATCACCAATCAATTATAACGCTAACCAGAGCTGGACTTTTTTGTTATTTAATTCAAGAAGTAACTGTTTGGTCACAAATCAGCTAGCTAGTGTATATAGTCCCAAAACGTTCAGATGAATGCAATTGCTCTGAACAAGACACGTCCTGGAAAGCGATTGTCCATGCATTGTTTTCAAAACCGCTCAAAGTTGAAAACTACAAAGTGCGATTTTTTTATGGTTAGGAAAAAATGCTCATCATTTCTAAAATAGCACCCAGGTTTTTTCAACCCTTGGAAAATAAAGAAGGATAACTCTTCCGCTCGGATCTTTTAATTCAAAAAATTTTAAATGCATTTTATATTTTCCATTTATATATATATTTTCAATTTGTTTATTTCACTTTGCTAACATATTAAGATACATTCTTATCGTAGACTTTCATGAAATGTTATCCGTCTGTTTTCAAGAAATAAAGTTTTCCCAGTTTTTTTACGCTTATTTTTTGTTGAAAATTAAAAAAATACTAAGACATATTTCTTGTCATTTTTGTTTTTATAAACACTTTATATTAGCAAACGCCTGCCTATAATATTAAGCTTATGAAAAAAGAATTATCCAAGAAAAAAAATCGTTTTTGTATTTCTCATTAAAATAATAAAAAATTATTAAAATTGCACTTTAATATACTGAAAGGTGGGGGTATTTCAAATCCTTCTAATTTGGGTACATAAATATGTAGGAGAAGTTTCGTTTGGTATCCCATACCACCTTAACAGTCTGTTAAATCTTCATTATTTCTCTTTTTTTTCTTTCCCAAAAAACATTTAATCTGAATTTCAGTTATTTATTTGATTCATTGTTTTCTATATGCATTGTTTTATAGTTTGAAATAACTTCAGACGTACTGTGCTACAGCATATTCTAGAGGAGGTGTAAATCAATGTGGATTCTAACAAAAAAAACTCTACAGAACTTTTATAAATTTTAATATCTCCAAATTTCAAAAGTAAAAACATACGATTTTTCTTCACCTTATACAACCATTCCTCATGATAAATATTAAAACTTGGCTTTTTTCATCAACAAAATAACTTTGCATAAATCAATCTGAAGTTGATATTAAAATGATGCTGGAGTTCCACATTGACAACATTTATGTAGTGTTTGGAGACAAGGTCTCCCAATAAACTATTCGATGGGCACTAATTTTGCTCTTTTATCAGCCGACCTGTTTTAATATTCCTATCAAGCAGGATTTGTTCAAAAGTCCTACATGGGAAGAAGCAAACACTTGCTTTGGCCTTCAACTCGACATTTAGATATATCGACGAAGTATTATCTATTAACAAAAGTTACTTCTATGCATATGTCGACTCGATATATCCAAGTGAACTTAGAATAAAAGTCACAACAGAGTGTGCACATTTGTTTCATATTCGAATGTTTTACTGACTATAGATGGCCATCTAACAACTAAATTGTATGAAAAACTATATGACTTCAGCTTTTCCATCGTCAACTTTTTTAGTAAGATGTAGTAATATCCAAGTATTGTCTGCATATGGTCTTTACGTCTTCCAACTTATTCGATACTCAAAAGCATACTCATAGTACGATCAATTTTTATAACGAGGCAGGCTGCCTGCAGATAAGTTAATGTTATAGGGATTTCAAAAACTCCTTTTAAAGTCGTCATATCGTAAAATCAATAGTCATTATAGTGACGTTGTTTGCTAATCTAAATCATGATTGTATATTTGTTACAAACCAATTGCTAGACCTTGATTTAAAATAGGGTTAATGGCGGGTGTGCCGGTCAACAGATGATGCTTACTTCTCCTAGGCATCTAATCCCATCTCTAGAATTTCCAGGGTCCGTGTTTGTTTTATTGATCACTGTTCGCAATTCTCACCTTTTTCATTGTTATTAATTTCTATCGCCTAAAGGGATAACGCAAGTCTTCACTCTTTTAGCTCTATCGAATTTTCCTGATACAAAATAATTAAAGTTAGGTTTGAATACTTCCCTAGAAATCGAATGAATGGACTTATCCCTCGTTTAGCAAGATTCCAAATCCCCTCGACCAGATTTATTTCCCTCGGCTTCGTCTCAGGAAATACTCCTGGCCTCTGAGAAGTGGAATCTTGCTTACTTCTTCAATGGTGTACTTTGACTGCATACGTGTGTTGATTTCATATAAAGCGTAATACTTTGGAAAGAAACCTAAATGAACTCATTCAATAGCTTTATGCAAAAAGTAAGTAAAGTCCTTGCAATATAAAGAGAATATGATGTTTTCAAAATGAATGCACATACTTACACATGAGAGGGTTGGTCTAATATTTTTCGAATTGAATTGGCGATAAAGCTATTACATGTAATAATAACTTACTGTAAATAATTACACTCTGGTTTAACTTAAGACCATATGTTTCAAACTTGACGAAGCAGCTGTCCTTTGCTTTTCTGGCTTTTTCGATTATGAAGAAGGATTGTAAGGCAGTGGCGTTATTAACGAGGTTATCTGCTGTACAACTTTCCGCTACACATGTACCAACTAGGTTTTTACACTTTCTCCAGTGAATTATATTATTTTTGTTTTGTGAACAAATATGTGCTTTAATGACGACTCTGTCACCCTCCTCTGGAAAAGGATTATTAAGTGATACATATGGATTGCCTACAATATAAAATTATGAAAAGTAATATTTTTGGTTATGTTTTTGTGTGATATAGTAAGATTTAATATGGCATATTTACAATGTTTTGTTTCTCTTCGTAAAAAAGAAGATTCAAAGAGAAAAATGTCATAATTTTTTTTTTCCTAGTAAATGCTAATTTCAAGCCAGAAGTCTCTGATGAGATTGAAGCTCTACTGATTTTTATTGAAAACAAAGGGGGGAAATTAGCACTTTTACATGAAATTATGAAACAGAAATGAATAGAATAATGACCGTTGGCTTCATTTCTTTTTGTTACAAGTTTTATTGCAAACAGACTAAAACTGGAGGAGAAGGAGAAGTCTTTTGCAAGAATTTTACAGAATCTATCTTTAGCAACCATGGTAACGTCGTTGGTTGAAATCTAAAGCTGATATAAAGAATTATGTATCTTAATGTAGTTTTGTTGTGTGCATATTTTATATTGAAATCAGAACAAAATTATAGGAGGGGTAGCATTTTGAAGGTTTTTTGTACAGAAATTTCTATTCTTAAGAACCATAAAAACACCCGTTCATTAAAAAAAATACGATTAACAGAATTATATATCTTAATGTAGTCGAGTTGTATGCCAAAATATGTTGAAATCAGACCAAAACTGTAGGAAGAGTAGCGTTTTGAATGTGTTTTACAGAAATTTCTATCTTAAGTAACCATGGCAATACCGTTCATCGAATAGAAAACCGATGCACAAAATTATGTATCTTAGAATCGTCTAGTTGTTTGCCAATTTATATTGAAATCAGAACAAAACTGTAGGAGGAGTAGCATTTTTTAAAATTACTTACAGACAGACAGACGAACGGACGACGGACACCTTACTATTACTATCGCATAAGTTTTTCTGGTCTCTGACAAGTAGAGCTAAAAAAGCAATATGAAAAAAATTATTATGAATGTACGTACACGAAGAAGTAACGTTTTCATTTCGGCCTTTATCAAGTGCTGTCACCAACAAGAATACCTGAAATCAATATAAAACATAATACTTTTTTGGTAAAACTTTCAAAACATTTTAGCACATTATTTAGATTTTGAATTATGGTATAGTCAAAAAGATATTGATATAGCAAAAAAATTAAATTATGGAAGTCTGTTGAGGCCAGATAAGAGAAAAATTTCTTTTATTGCGTTTTAGCGCAAAATATTGTGTTTAATTGCAATAATCTTTGAGTTTAAAAACAAAAGATTGCATTTAAATGCAATAAGGTTTACTTTTGAAGGCAAAAATTTACTGCGTTTAAACGCAAAATTGCGTATAAATGCAATAATCTTTGCGTTTAGATGCAGGAATCTTTGCGATGAAATGCAATCATTTGTATCAAACCTTGCAGAGGACAATGGACCCACGCATACTGATATCTTTTTTATTTCTTCCTTAGATTTTCAACCAGGAAATTGTGTTTTGTCTAGCTTTAAAACATCAGATTTTTGTGAGCAAACGCTCTCTAAAAGAAAAAAAATTGCCTTGTATTTATACAGGAGAAAACAATTAGGATTTTCAAACAATGGTATCATTAGAAAGAGACATGTCTTAAGGATATCCAATCCTCAGCCAGGAATGATAACTCTTAAATTTATTATTTTATTTAAAAAGTCTCAAAATGAAGCTTGAAATTGAAATCTATTCGTGCAACAATTTTCATTTTATGCACCTTAATGTGATTCAAGGTTCTTTGAAGTCTTAGAAATAGTCTTGTAAAAAGTTGACATTTGTACCCCATAAGAGAAAAAAACGAATTCAATTTTAGAGAAATCGAATTTCCTTTGGTCTAGCATTAGATACCACTGCTTATTAGCATGATATGAAATAAGATGTGATATGTGATGTCTAGCAATGATAGCACAAGCTTTTTACACTATGTATTATATGACAATTGAAGTGAAAAGAAGAACTAAAATACTATACAAGCATAAAAAAGATGTAATTTTCTCCAAATGCCTGAATACCTATATTTTTCTATCCTAAATTATATTTTTTGATCAATTTTCAATTAGAAAATGCATAGCTGATGTTTATATTCGCATTTCCTGAAAATATATTTGAGATTTGATGATTTTCCCTATATAATATGATTAACTATAATGAAGAACTTTGAAGAAATTCCATGGGTAAATTCACGTTACTGTGTGAATTCAGAGACATTTTTGTGAGTATTTTCAATTACTTAAAAGCTGATTTTCAGAACCTGAGGATCGGACTACCTTAAACTTATTAGAACTCGATACTCTAAATAAATTCTTTAATAAGTTGCTTACAGTCAAACATCACATTTCTTTCTCTTTTGTTATTTTTTCTACTTTTAAATAATTTCTGCAAACAAAAAGAATGGATCTTCTGAATAAAAGACCAAAGAAGAAAAATGGTTTAAAAAGCTATTCCCCGCATTATGGTACCAAGTTTAACCCATGTATAAAAGGGTTCAGGAAACGACTTATGAAATATTTGAAATATGTGTATATGGAAGAAACTTTAGCGGGAATGATACTCAAATTAAAAAGTTACGTGAAAAATATGTTCATAATATGTCTTAAGTAGGGATGGCAACGAATATTCGAACATTTCGAATATTCATTTGATGAATTGATATTCGAATATGAATTTAAGATTCGAATATTCGGTGTTTTTCAGATTTCATAAAAAGAAGTACTGTGATTAATAAATTTTGATTAGAACAGTGCTGGAATTATCCCTATTTAATTTACTATCAATCAATTTCGATCGCCTGATTTCTTTCACTACTTTCTTATCTTATAGATCTACTAAATTATATGTATTTTGTTTTGAGTAAGGTGTTAAAGAATTGTGCAATAATGCTTTATGTATAATACAAAACGTACTTTCATATATAGTTTTTATTAGATACGATTGGATCTAGAATCGAGGACAACAAAATGAAATCTTAGAATGTCTTAAAGGCGTGAAAAGTATATATACTTATCAAAATAAAATTAATTGATCATTGAATGAATGTCCGATAGAATTAATCTGTAATTAATATTGTAAAGGGCTTAATTTCAGATAAATGTGTAAATTACTTGATTATCTCGGGTTGTACATAATCCTGAATTTTATATTCATTATCGGGAAATTAATTAATTACCTAGAAAAATTGTCTATGGAAATATTTGTTTACATTGTATCAAAGATTATAATCATATCTCTTATTATAGGCAGATAATTGTAATTTATTACACGTATTGAAATCTGAACAGTATACCGTTACGACTATCTTGCCTTTTGTAAGACGACTGGTTCCTCAGTTGGAGCTACTATAAATACACATGTTTCATTTGTTAAAATTATACTTTTCTACATTTAAATTAATTATTTAATTTATTTCAAACATTGGCAAATATCAAATGGAATTTCTTATTGTACACCTACAAAAGTCCTCGTACCGTTTTTCTTCCCATATAAGTATACCTACGCTAAACCTTTCATGTGAGTAGGATGATCATATTTAAAATAAAACAGATTTTATTTATTTTATCGAATTTTCGAATATATTCGAATACTTTCATTGAATATTCGAATATGAATTATTGACAAAATTGACATCCCTAGTCTTAAGACATATTAGGTACTTACGGGAGCGTAAAGGTCTCTACACTTGTTGTGTTCTTACCTGCACATTGTCTTACTTTTCGGTGTCTTGTCAACATATAAACTGTTACGATTTGTCATTTATATGCACTGTACTTATTTTGCTTTGTATTAATGTGTTTTAGCTCTACTGGTCAGAGACCAGAAGAGCTTATGCGATAGTAAGGTGTCCGTCGTCCGTCCGTATGTCTGTCTGTCTGTATGTAAACAACTTTTCAAAACGCTACTCCTCCTACATTTTTAGTCTGATTTCAGTATAACTTGGCACACAAGTAGACTACACTAAGATACATAATTCTGTTTATCGGTTTTTGATTTCTATGAACGGTATTGCCATGTTAGTGAAAATAGAAATTTCCTTGAAACGCTTTCAAAACGCTACTCCTCCTACAGTTTTGATCTGATTTCATTATAACTTGGAAAACAAGTAGACTAGACTATGATACAAAATTGTCTTTAATGTTTTTTTTATTTTGTTGAATGAAGTTGTCATGGTTACTAAAATTGAAATTTTTGTAAAATTGTTTTAAAAGGCTACTCCTCCTACAGATTTAGTCTGATTGCAATAAATCTTAATAATGCGAAAATCTCAATAAAACAAAAAGAGACTACACCAAAGATCATTATTCTATGTATCGCTGTTGTAAAGTTTCAAGTCCGAGTGCTACTTTCAAGTACAAACCAGTAGAGCTACAATCTCATCAGAGACTTCTGGTTACATAGTTTAAGGCAATTTCATTTATTTGATTGGTTTTATCGCTATAAATTACATGTACCTGGAGTTAAAAAAATATTGATTTGAAAATTTTGATCTAAGTAGGAGATTTAAATATATCGATGTAGTAATCCCGACATGCAAGTGTTACCTTACTGCTCTTGAAGAATTTTATCGTAAGTCAGATGCTTGCTTATTATCGATTTCAAAGCGTTACGTTTTCCCTAAGCGGTAAACAGGCAGCCGTATCACATATGTTAAGCGAAGACGCATTTCAAGTTACCTCGTACAGCCGAGGTTTGACGAAGGCGAAGCAATCAGCTGAGGTTTTCCGAATGTCGGGGGGGGGGGGGGGGTATGAAAATATTGTTCTCGAACAAACTTCGTGGGCACGGGAATTTTAATGAAACGTCACATCCTTCGAGATTTATTGACGGCAAATAACCTTGCACCATGTGTGAAGTGTCAAATATTATAGAGAGACTAAAAACGTTTTTAAGAAGGAGAGTCTTGAGTACTTAGATTGTCCCCAGTAAAGCAAATATCAATTGGAAATAAAAATTGTATGGTTTCAAATTTTTCATAATCAGTGTAGTGATGAGTAATATAATTAGCAATAGGTGACCCCCCCCCCTCCCCACCGGTTTCAATTTTCTGCAGTTTATAGATAAATGTAGTACTAGGCCTATTTGTGTATGCATCGAAAGTAACAAAATTATAAAAAGTGACACTGGCTATTTAAACTCTGTAAATGTTTGATGTTTTGTCACCATATGGTAAACATAGGATCCGCCACATAGACATGAACCTCCACACTCTTGACAACCCTCCCCCTTCAAAAAATATAAACAGTTAACCAATCAGAATATCAGATAAAATGTCAATATCAGCATATCAGATTTAACTTTTTATTGTTTAAAATGATATAATATCATTTCTGCTTCATTAAGAACAGGCAGCATAAACTTAATCACAAAGAAAAAAAGGGAGGGGATGTCAATCAAATAAAATTTCGGTATTTGACAGGCAAACGATTAAGAAAATGATAATCCAACTAAAATTGTTATCTATTATTTTCGGAACATATTCTTAAGTCTTTCTTAAAATCATAGTTATATCTGTTTCCTTTTTAGGTGTGTTGTTTTCCCTAAGGTGGTACTGATCAAACTTTCAGTAAGAGAATTGTTTCCGTCGCGATCCAAAAAGTGACCACGAATGTAAGTGTTTGCATAAATTTTTAGTGCGCCAAAGTAAAACTATGAATAATGGAGAACACTACCACTAGTGTTACAAAAACCTTTAATTTAATGTAGTTTGCTTCAGATAAAATATAATAAATCAAAGTTTAAAAGCAGAAACCTGTCATACATTTAATTACTCCCCAATATTTACGGTTTTGTAAACAATGTTTAACCAGTCTTTCAAATATAACGTGTTAATTTTGAATAAGCTTGCTTTTCTTCATCTTCTTATTTGTTCGTTTTATTATGTCCCTGAGATTTTTAGCACTATTTTTAAATATCATCATAATAGAACGATGTCCATATATCTTTTTTAAAATAAATCGCCCTGCATCATTTAATGATGTCTAAACTTGAACGTAGAATAGAATAGTGGTTTTAAAAGGAATACATTTACATTTTTTTTCTTTGTTAAATATAGAGGTATTATTTACGTTGATGTTAACACCAATCATTCCTCGTTGATATAAGCTGTACTGAATGCTTAACGAAAAACACAATGATACTAGTGATTTTGTTTGTTAAATTCATTATAGTGAAAATTAAAAATAATAAAAGCAAACAAGATTTCAACTCAAACAAGAAATGATTGATCAAACAAGTTATATGTATAATTATTACATAGTCTCTCTCTGCAAGAAATAATTGTAGTACTCCTTAAATTGGAAATTTGGAGCAAAGTACATATAATTGATCTTACAAACGCTAAACATAATCATTTACAACATTGATTAATAGTTCAAAGTTATACACACAAAACTATTATTGATTAGGTATGATATATCTGCATACTTCAGAAGTCTACCATTATTTGGAAATATTTCAAAAAGAAAATATGGAAGCCTACAAGATAATATACATCTCTGACACTTTCT